AATGTGGTGGGAGGGGGGAGCATTTACTGCAAGAGCCCACTGTGCTTAGGAAATGTTAAACAGGCCTCCCTTATGTACTGTGAATTAGATGAAGGGACTTAACACATTATTTCTAAGACATAACAACCCAATGAAAAAAATATATTACTCTCATTTTATAGATGGAGAAACTGAGGCTCAAAGAGGTTAAGTCACTTGTCTACACCACATAAGAGGTAAACAGTTTAGCTGGTCATTAACTGAGTTCTGTCTTACCCTATAGCTCACAGATTAGTAGTCACATTCACAATCAAAATGAACTTCAGGCACTGGCTGGTCTTTCTCACAAACTGCTTGCTGTTTCTTAAAAATCTAGAAGTCACCTGGCCCTAATAAGATGTTTAATTTACTCTGTTGTAAAACTGTTCTGCAAAATTTCAAAGCAAGCTAACTGGCATTGTTTCACTTTTAACTTAGAGCAAATTGTTGGAGGGAAGCTTAGGAAAGAAATGAGTGAGGATCTAGATTTTGTTCCTTGACCCATTTGGAGGCAAGTCTCTCACATACCTTCTTAAAAGAAAATGTAAATAGGCTTCGAATGACTTCTGGAGAATCAACATAATTGTATACATACAACCCTTTGAATCTCTTAATACTATACAGATACAAAATTATATTATTTCAGCAAAGAAGTAAACCAAAAAGTACCTGCACATGCATGCAAATGCACAATTTATTGAAGGGGTGGAAGGTACTGACACCTTTTCTAGAACTCACTCTATAGTAACACAGAAATCATAGTCAACTGGCCCCTTTCCAGTAGAACATAAGACCGATTCCATTGCATCACTGGAAAGATAGACTTTTTTGAATGTCACAAGCATTTAAGTAATTTTAAAACATGGATTTCTTTTAATACATAATTTATAAATAAGTTTATTCTGGCATATAATTATAAAGCAGATTTTTATAATTTCCTTTCTCTGCTTTAAGGAAAACTGGACTTGCCAAGGGAATCAAAACAAACTTTAGAGAAGTTTTGGTACAAAATACAATTCTAAATAATGAGATCACTAAAGAAAGATTAGGGTAAATGGGCTGAAAGTGGAGAAGAATACATTCGATGACTACACTTTTCAGATTTACTGGGATATTCCAAATTCCAAATATCCCATCCCACTTTTGTCATAAACTATTGAAATGACCCAGGGGGTTCAATATTCAGCCTGCAAGTTCGAATTTCCATAAAGCTTTTTATACTGAAAATACAGAAATGTTTTCTGAGACCATGCATTCTGAGGATTTTATATAGAATATGAAGTAAATGTGGAAAATAAATCCAGTAAATGCTGAAGCAAAATGAATTTCATGAAAGGTATTAATAAATTATGTTTAATGGCTGATAGAAGAGTACAAGCAACCCCTGGCATCCAGGATCTGGCTTGGTACCCACAGCTGGGCTGTGGTGGTGTTCTGCTAAAAATCGACAATTTGAAATAACACCAATGTCAAAAGACCACAGGGACAAAAATGGATCAAGATAAAAACAAGACCACTCTGCAAACATGTTGAACACAGACAAATGCATGAACACAAACATACTGTCCCCACATTCTGGCTAATACAAGTAATTGCTGCTTCTTTGCCAATCACATCATTAGCTTCACTCCATTCTTCTTGCCTTCTAGTTAACCATTATTAAGATACTCAGTTATAGAATTACTACCCCTTCTGATAACATCCAGTCCAGAGCAGAGCTTCACTTCCTTGGATGCTCCCCAGAATCACCTAACAGAAGACCAAGTCCTACAATAAGTCCTTTCCAGAACCTTATTAGGAGATCCCATAGTTCTAATGGTTCACTTTCTCTGTTGCTGCAATGAATAACTAACTAACTCTGTTCAAATACAGGTGCATTACTTTGTGTGGTCTTTGGCTGAAGGGAATTACGTAGTAAATATTGACATAGGGTATTCCCACAGAAAAAATGCATGTATTCATGTTGCTATAATAACATCAGTAACACCAGTTGAAATATATCATTTCTTCAAGGATATAACAGCTAAAAATGGGATGAATGGTTTAATGGATCAGCATTCAAGTACTATCTCTACCTCTTTTCTTAATTTTCAAAACAGTTTCACTAGGAAGCCATGTGAGTAATTGGAAAATAAAATACTAAATAGGAAATAGAAACTTAGTACATGTATAAATTCACACAAAGACAATCACAAGAAACAAGAAAGGCTGAAATGAATGAAAGCATGGTATGAACATATCAACTCTTTAACAAATAATGCATGGAACTTTTAATTTGAAACTTAACATGTTAGGAAGATGCCACATAGCTCTTATACAAAAGTTAGATGGAACAAGCAGTGTGTGCATTAGGAGAAACAAGAGAAATTTAATCACCCACTTTGAGAAACCAATCTTATATTGATTTAAGGCCTTCTGTCCTATAATTGACCACATTTGATAATTCTTATCTGCACTATGTGAAGTATTACAAACTATAGTGATAGGGAAGTGCTTCTCAAATTTTAATTTTTATACAAATCACCTGGAGATCTTGTTAAAAAGCAGATACTAATTCAATATATCTGAAGTAGAGCCAAGATTCAGCCTTTTTAACAGGCTCTCTGGTGTTGCCAATGGATCATACTGGTCCAAGGATCATGTTGAGTAGCAAAAATATAAAAATTAAATGTTGTAGGGTCAGGCTTGAAAGTTTCTAGGCCTAATGTTCATGCCTGTAATCATCACCTACTGAATTGTTACAGCCTGTGACAAGCCCCAGCACTTCATCCAGAGGGGATTGGCAGATGACATTTGGAAGTGGCAGCTGAGGGTTGGCAGCAGAACAATGAAGCTGCTTCCTACTGCAGTGCTCACTATTCATACTTCATCAGGGCAGTACAGAGTATTTCTTTTCTGGAATCAAAGGCAAAGGGAACCTTTCCTTTATTGGGAAATTCAATCTCACCTATTTTTGTCTCTTTGCAACTCAACAACCCTAAAAGTATAATTTTCCCCACTCCCCAAAGTTTGGTTTGATTCTGACCTTGTACATGTGTGGGGAAGTTGGGGTTCCTATGGCCAGGATCCTCACTGAACTTAAACCACCTGATGATGTAACTGGCCTGTTGCTAGGCTACCGCTTCCACACCTTTAGGCAATAAGCCATATTGTGCTATATAGAAAGCTCAGCCCAGTGCTCTGGGTGGAGGCAGAGATGGTAGTGCTCAACCTACCATCGGAGAACAAGCCGGGTAATAAACCCTTTCACCCCAAAGAATATTCTGCTATCAATTTCTTTGGTCACATTGAATCCATAGCGAACTTGCCCAGGGCTGAAACCCATTGGCAAGACAGCATGATTCATATCCTAGGCACTAAAACTTCGTAAATGGTTTTCTTGAGGTTTTGGTCAATATACTCTTGAATAATCATGGACACCAAAAACCTAGAGGCTGCTCAAGGAAGCCAGGGGGGGACCCGATGTGCTCTACATTACAACACAAAAGCTGAGAGATGAAAGGGACATAAGAGTTTTCCTATTTGGTTTGGGAGATGTGATGTGCATGACGGATGTGGGAGTCAGGCCAGGCATGCCACAGGGCAGCAGATAAACCATGACATGTACCCACAGACTAGTTTTTATTCTACCATCACCTGTGCAGCTGTGCCTGCTTGATGGTAAGTGGAACTAGAGGTACAGTATGAAACTCTACCAGAATCAGTACCTTAGATCTAGGTGACCTGGATTGCTATAGGTATTTTTTGTACCCACATTAAGTAATTTAACTAGAGTTTCAGGGTCAGTGACTAGGGGAACCAAGGCTTAGAGAGACCCATTTTGAAACTTCTCCAGATTAGTCAACTTTCAAGTGTTTTTTCATTTGAGAAAACTAGGGAAGACTATAATAGACATGTTTACTTCATTTAATGCTATCCTTTTATCTTTTGCTAAGATCAGAACCCATCACAGTCCCTGAGAAAGGACAATTTGACTAAAACTTATGTGTCTGAAGGCTCATTCTCAACACTTCTCAAACCAGTCCTCTGCTGGGCTCCTCTCTGGAGAATACCACAGAATGTCAGTGTATCTATCTTCATTATGTGAACATCTAACTATTTTATATACTATGTTATATGTAGTAAAAAAAAATCACAACCAGAAGGTTCACAAAGTTTAAAATACAAACAAGTAAAACAAAAATCATGGATGTAATCACACAAAATACTTTCTGAGGTTTTCTTATAATTCTCACATGCTGAATATTCTCTTTAGTTGACTGCTAGACATCAAAGTAAAGATTATAGGGGAAAACTTTAACTGGGAAAAATCTAATTTTTTAAACAGGGAAACTATCTCCCTCAATCAGTTGTAGTGGTAAAACACAGAATTCTCAGAAAAAGCCACTCAACACAGTTAACAAAAGAAAGATCCAGAAAAGTAGGGAAAAATAGCTAAAGTATATAGTTAATGGGAAATTCAGAACTAAAACTAAGGTCCATGTTAATGCCAACACCTGTGCTCTTCCTTCTGAATCACCATATGCTTAGATTTTAGGATTTAATAATAATATCTTGTGTATAGTAAGCTCTCAAATGTTCACTGAATATTCTGCTGAAAAGGAAGCAAGTATCTACCTGCATGGGAAACATTAAATTCATACTGTTATATTAGATCTATGAAATCATGATTTTGTTATTGCTTTCATGTCACTAAAAAGATCTTTAGAAATCTGTGAGACAATTTATAGTTCATCTTCTAGCTAGACTTCTAAATTATATAAGCAGACATTATAACACAGATCTTGAAAATAAATGCAAAATAATCCATTTTACTTCTATATTGAGAAAAAAATCATTAAGTATTAATGGATTATAGTGTTGTTATCATTTACTACAAATCATAATGATAATCCACCAAGGAACCTATAAAAACAAAAACAAGAGAAGTTATTTGATACTGCTGTTCCAATCTATTTTTTTTTTTAAAGCAATGCAATTACCAGTTTGAGGTGGAAGAACTTTGGAATCTTCAGGTGTTTTACTTGTAGGCACAATCCACAGCTTTTCACTTGAAGCTACAGAAAAAGAAATGAAATTTGTTGAAAATTTTTTTGAGAGAAAGACAGAAATTTGCTGGTACTGTTAAGTTCCTACCAGAAGCCTGTAATAAAAGCACATACTTACTAATCCAGTCAAAAAGTCACATATATCAGGAAATCAATATATGCCCATACAGAAAGCATATGATTAGAGACTACAGAGACACCAGAGTCTGCAGTTATTTTGTAAAAGTTTTGATGGTGGAAAACTAAATGAGCTATATGGAATTAACATACTGATGATTGCCACTGCATTTGTAGAAAATCTAATCAGACAAGATTTTTTTTTTAACCAAATCAACTACTTATTTGGCTGAGTTACTCAATTCATCAGTTCACTGTGGTGTGCAGGTACAGGATTCAGTAAACGTGTCCTGCAGAAGTACGCAATCTCCCATATCATAATGCCAGACTTAAGTTGCTGTTATTACCCAAGGTGCCCCCAGGTTTCTCAAAAGGGAAAGGTGTTTTTGCCTGAGGAAATTCTGGAAGTCTTTTTGGAGCTGTAATGAAACACATAAGAAATGTTATGACTTGAGGTACAAGCAACAGAGGAAAGATTAAAAAAATCTCAAACTTGCAAAAACAAAAAACAAACACAGAAATGCATATTATTACATCAAGTAAGCGACTCAGTATTTCTTACTCCTGTGTTTCAATGGTGAATATAAGAAAGCTTCTTTTTCTATTTTTTGTAATCAGGTCACCAAATTTGAGGAATTTTGGCTCTTCTTTACTCCTTTATTAAACTAGTTTCTTAATTTCTTCAGCTATATGTACATGTGTTCTTAGATATATTTCACTTAAACTTAAATCAAGCCCCAAACGCATCCAAACTAGAAAATGTCTGTCTAATATCTTTTAAAAATAGAATTTTGGAAACCACATGACTTTATATTTAAGCTCCCCTCCAACAAGTTTTTTGATATTGCATTCAGAAAAAAAATTCTAAGAATTCTAAAAGCATTATGCAAAAATTTTGTAAATATATCTTCTTTGTCAGGAGAAACAATGGAATAAAAAGACATTTAGGAAAAATTTAGAACATTTATTCCATGACACAATGATCTGGAGTTAAAAGCATCAATTATAATATCTAAACATGGCTACCAAAAAGAAAAACTACCAGAAGATTTGTCATCTGGAGAAAGACTCTTTAGGATTCTAAATTATTAAATAAAGATTTTATAAGGGCTTAGTATTGGGGAGCTTATTGTTCTATAAGCCATGTGTCCCTTCTTCCCTGAGAGGAGGTAAATTTGAATGAATTAGCCTAAGGACTTCTTTCAGACATGCTTAACATTTCCAAAGCAAAAATAAGCTGTAGTGTACAATAATTTTTACCTAGAGTGCTCAGTGGCAATTCAAACCTAGGTATCAAAACAGTTTGAGGTGTTTCTGGAGTCCTTTCACTGAGAACTGCAATAAAGAAGAATTTGGTTATCAACTCACAAGTCAGGATTTGACACAGTGTCTTAGCCGTGATTGTGTGAAGCATGCTCATAACAGAGTGCATCTGGAAGCTGATGCCTTTCATGGAAATAGCTGCCTTTCTTTGGAAAACTTTTACATAGCTGTTAAAATTGGAAGGTACACTTTCAAAGGTCCTTGGTATGGCACGGAAGATCACCATCACACGTACAGAATAAAATACATGCTGCTCCTTTTCTTTAGGAGGACAAAGCAAGTTAGATTCTCTTGGGCCAAGAAGCAGCTAATGTGCACGACATGAAATTCTTATTACAAAGCATGACACTTTGAGGATTCTCCTCAAGGGTAGTACTCACAAGACCTGGAGAAGCCAATCAAAACAGAAAGCACAGACATAGTCAAGACTTCCAGTTTTCCTCCCCTCCTCCAAGCGCTGTGGGCTAAAAGGCTGGCATTCTGATTTTCTATATATCCCAAGAGACTGGGAAAAAGGGTACATTAGCATCTAGCATCCAAAGCTGCTTAGAATATCAGTCACCAGAATCAAGGCATGTCCTTAACTCTCTAAACAAAACTGGTCCAAGAAATAGGATGATTAACTACTGCCAGTAAAGGGGAGAAGAGAGGGAAACTGAGGCATTGGGATTATTATTATTATTATTTTTTTGAGAACAAAAATTTCTTAAAAGACTTAAAAGAAAGTTCTCAGAATTACCCAGTATAATTTCTGAAATGTCTAATGCCTTAGACACAGTGGGTTTAGTGGTTCTGGGCACTGATGCAGGAGTCACTGGAAGGTAAAACAGACAACTTTACAAATTATGATAAAATGGTGAAGGCACTTCTGTTGCCTTTACAATGAGTAACTGACACATCAAGTTGTTCAGGACTTGAAGTGAAGGATGTTAAGGATACCTGGCTTGCCCCAGGTGCCGGAGCTGACACTCCTCCCAGCCCTTCCTTTCTGGGTTTGGTCTGTTTTCCACGGATTCCAAAAAAGCACACTGAACTGACCATGAAAGCACTTATCAGATTCATCATAATTTTTTATTTGTCTGACTTTTTCTTTCTCTTTATCTCTAGGGCTTTGCACAATGTCCAGGTTATAGTAAGCAAGCACCTGATAAATGTTTATTAAATGAGTAAGTGGGCAAATAAACAATGACCCAAGGCTAAAAAGTTTGTCTAGAACTATTACATTATAAGACTTCTCTTTTCCAAATTGCACTCTATAAGCAAAGCTTGGAACTGAGTTGAAATTATGATAAGGATTCAAATGCTCATCAACCACTAGGTTGTTCTAAGTGTGAAACAAAGACAAAAATGACCTCAGATAAAAGGTTTTCAAGAAGTAAGAACCAGGATCACTGAGATCTGGAATGCATTGTAAACTAGACAACTCCAGAATTTTGTGGGTAAGGACATGGAATAAACAGAATAATACTGAATAAAAAGTTATGGTGTTTGCCTAAGGGTTTCTGAAGTGGAAAATTCTGAGGAAGATTTGGCAGAGAACAAAGAAATCTGTTGATTCTCCCATCAGATACTGTGCCAGGAGAAGAAAATGTAATTGGGAAAAGCGGGTAGAATATTTGGAGCAGAAAAGAACTTGGAGTCACCCCCTGGGGCATGCCTTTGCTCTTCTGGGTACTGATCAGTAATACTCAAGTCAGAAAACTAGCTGGGAATTTCATTGATTAGATTAGTCCAGCATTTTGAATAGGTTCTACCTCTGCCCCAACTCCCAGAAGGTAGGAGATGTAAGGTCCACCTTTCTCCTTTAGGCAGGACTATATATTTCTGACTCTGTCAGAAATATTCCTACTTGAATAGATGTCTTGAAATCAAGTTATTTTATTTCCTCACCAATCTTTATCTTCTCTTGACTAGTTATGAGTCCAAAAGTTTAATACAAGGTAAATATCACTGATATTTCAATGGTAACTTTTGGGTCAAAAAATTCACTTTAGACTGGAGTTACTTTGCTAAATGTGGATTTGGGGGCCTTCTTGCTAGATGCTTGTTTCACTGAGTCCTGGATGAGGTGGCATGGATCAGGCAAAAACTTTGTAGTTCAGAGAATAATGTGTCCCCCAATGGGCTGGTCTTGGGCAGTCCATTCAGAGAAGAAATGCTCAATGTTTGCTAGTAATGGCTGATAAACTATGGGGAAAATGCATACCACATTTGTTCTTCAAAGGATTTTTACTGAATGATTACTTATGCTCTATATTAGTATTGTTAATTTTTCAGATATATTTTTACTAAATGATTCCAGGAGACTTTCATACATCTCAAGCTATAGATTTGTGAGGGATAATTTGCTAAACTGACCAGTTGTGAAAGTCAAGTAATGAAAAACAGTCCTTTACATAAAAGAAAGGCACAAAAACCTGGCATTACATTTTAGTATAAAAGTATTTCAGAATGTCAAAGTAACAACTTTCACTGAGAGTGAAAAATACAGTTACATGATTCAATAGTTCATTTTACATCGGCTGTTTTTTCAGACTTTAGATTAAGGACCTAGAATCTTCAGTCATTTTGGGCTTATGGGTGGATGTGAATGTCCTACTGGCTTTTCACTGAAAAAATGTACAGGCTTGTCAATCATTAGCTATTTGAATAAACATATTATTTATTCTCTCAAAGTTAACAACATAGGGATCTCATTACCTGTTATGGGCTGTGCTGGGATTTTTTCCACCTGCGGTGTTTTAGATTCAGCAGGTAATGCCAAGGTTTCATTTGTAGCTGAAAAGTCAGAGAACAATTTACTTCACTTCTTCATAACACACTGTCCAAATATAATCCTTTCAAAACATAATCAACAGATTATTTCAAGGAATCTATTCTGCATTTATCCATTCCCACCAGGCGGTGAACAAACGTAGTGTGCATTTCTACCAGGGATTAGTGTGAGTAGATGACAGTGTTCAGAATTCCTTCTCATTAACCCCAAGTAATCCTCAGAACTGAGCTGGCACTGTAATGAAGGGAAAAAGTCATAACCTAATACCTGGATAACTCTCAAGTCATTTTGACTCAGAGTTTCTGGAAGGCATCAGATATATTGCAAACACTATCTAGTATTTAGTATTCCTATTTTTAAAACTACTCCTAATTTTAAAAAAACCAATAAACAGAAATTTTTCATTATTGTGCATGGTAAGAAATGTAATAGGTTATGACACTGAAATATTAGAAAAACACAAATAACACACCAGAAACTAAATTATTCTAAAATTTTTGCAGCAAAAAGAAATACCAAGTTACTTAGTTGAGACACCTGTTAAGATAGATCTTTTGGTCTCTGTGGGAATTAAGCATAAAGAATTAATTTTTTTTCCTCTTCAGACAACTATGCAGGACAGACACTTCCTTCCAAAATGCAGGTATTCTTTTTAGAGAAAGTATATTTCAATACCAGGGTCTCTCAAAGATAAAGACATTTCCCATTTAAAAAGAGCACTTAGGATTAACTTGACTCAGCTATTTAGCACACTGAATCAATGATTTACTTGCAACACTTTGAAATAGTCTAGTGGCATAAAAGAATTCATCCCTGTCTGAGATACCTGGATTGTGTCATCTTGAACTGATTATAACCAGATGGGATGTTTTAAGAATCCTAAGGCTGCACAGAACTTGGATCTCTCAGCTTTGGCACTATTGATATTCTGGCCTGGATAATCTTCTGTTGCGAGCGGTCTTTCTTGTGTACTGTAGGGTATTTAGCAGCATCTCTGGCCTCCACCCACTGGATTCCACTAGCATTTCCACCGTTGTACCAACCAAGTTATCTCTCATTGCCAGATTGTCCTCTGTTGAGAATTACTGTTCCCTCAAAGTTCTTTAAGGATGCATAGTGTAACTTCCTTCTGTTGTTCACATCACTATTGTGAAGATCACTTTCTGTTTTCCAGTTAACATGGGAACAAAATATTTATTTACTTCTGTGGGACTTCACAACAATTACAAAGTCATCCCTTTCACAATGTTAATAGGAGCAAATGATTTCCAGTCTCTATTATGGAGCATATGGTAGATTCCTACAGAGAGCTACTTAGTATCAGGAGTGATTTAAAATGCTAGGAATAGAAAGACATATGCACCCCTATGTTTATCGCAGCACTATTTACAATAGCCAAGATATGGAAGCAACCTAAGTGTCCATCAGTAGATAAGTGGATAAAGAAGATGTGGTACATACATACACAATGGAATACTATTCAGCCATAAGAAAGAAACAAATCCTACCATTTGCAACAACATGGATGGAGCTAGAGGGTATTAATGCTCAGTGAAATAACTCAGGCAGAGAAAGACAAATACCAAATGATTTCCCTCATTTGTGGAGTGTAACAATGAAGAAAAACTGAAGGAACAAAACAGCAGCAGACTCACAGACTCCAAGAAGGAACTAGTGGTTACCAAAGGGGAGGGGTGGGGGTGGACAGGTGGAGAGGGAGGGAGAAGGGGATTGTGGAGTATCATGATTGGTGCTCATGATGTGTGTGGGGTCACAGGGAAGACAGTGTAGCTCAGAGAAGAGAAATAGGTACTCTGTGGCATCTTACTACACTGATGGACAGTGACTGCAATGGGGTATGGTTGCATGGGGGGACTCAATAAGGGTGAATGTAATAACCACATTATTTTTCTTGTGAAACCTTCATAAGAGTGTATATCAATGATACCTTAATAAAAAATAAAATAAAATAAAATAAAATAAAATAAATAAAATAAAATAAAAATAAAATAAAAAATGAAACAAAACAAAACAAAACAAAACAAAATAAAATAAAATAAAATAAAATGCTAGGGATAGGTGCCCTGAGTGCTGGCATATCTGATAGCCAAGTATGTGTTTTGGATTCATGTACACATGAAGTTGCCCAACATGTTTGCACAGCAGAAATGTTTAATACCATTGTTCCAATTAATTTAGCAGGGTATAAAGATAAGAGACTCTGCAACATTTAAGAAAACAGATCTAATATAAATTTATGATAAATTCTATTGTCAGAATTTCTAAATTTGATCAACAGTTTTTCCAGCTTCTTTTGAAGTTGTGGCTTTTGTTTAGAACCATTGTAATTGTTTGCAAAAGAAACAACATTCAGATTACAAATTTTTATGAGCTCTGGTTCTGTTATTTCCAGCAGGTACCACAGGAAGGTTGTTTTCAGAAATGTTTTCGTTACTGCTCTCTCCTCCTTCAGGATGCCTTTGCTCACCCTCTCCTCCCAGTGTAATATCCTACTTTCTTAGTGGTTCCTTGGCTGACTAGGACTGACAGATGGAGAGATGGATGGAAGGATTGTCTGTCTGTCTGTCTACTTTAACCTCCAGATCCTAGACTTTCAGGAAATGCTCCGAACTGGTTTGCTTTAGCTCCTTACATTTGAAACATGTCCTGAGTTGGCAATCACTTAACCTAAAAATGCTAAACTACCTTCCTAAGAGATATTTGTATTTATACATTGTTAATTTCTTATAAAGGCATACTGTATTTTAAATAGGGCATTTCAGGCATCAGAGAAATTGGTAGATGCGAAAGATATTTCCATGGGGAACTCTTCATGCCTCCTATCAACCCATGAACAGTCACCTGCATCATCTACGTGCAACTGCAGTCTTGGCAAAAGCAGATTAAAATGCCCTGAGAACTTGGCCTAAAACCCAGGAAATTCTTTTCCTCTCTTATTCTTCTGTACCTTTTTCAACACAGTTGTTTCCTTTAATTTTTGGCAGGCTAACTCTTAGCTTTGGCAAACCCTTTATATGTCCCAGGGAGATGTGTGTGTTAACACTAGATTCATTGTTTATTTCTCTCATTATTCACACCATGTGTTCTTAAAACAAAAGCTATTAATTTTTTGATGTCCCATGATGGGCCCTGCTGGAATGAGATTATGTTTAGGATTTACCGCTCAAAAAATAGCACTTTTCTGAATTGCAATGATAAATAACTTTAAGAAAGTTTACTACTCCCTTGGGAGTATAAAGAACAGTTTACACTCACACTCTTTTTATAAAATAACAGTGTTTCAAATATAATTTTTAAACATAGTCTATTAAGATTGGTACTGTTGATGGGCTTACTGGACATTTTCAAGCATATTGGCTATCAATCTATTCAATGCTTAGTGTAAGAAATATGCAATGTGTTAAATTTAAGATAGGTAGATCCCCAGATATACAAGTTAAAAAGATATTTAACTATTTGAATAGGATTTTTCTTCAATAAAATCATACTCAATCCTGAAGCGTTAGTGAATACAGAAAGACAAAAGGAAGAGCAAAACAAAAAATCCACTATTAACTTCTTGAAATTAAAGAAAACAAAAAGGCTGAATTGGCATTAAGGTAACATGTAGGACTTTGCAAAAACCAAAAAAAAAAGAACCACACAGGAGGAAATATCAATCACTCAGGACTAAGGAGTAAGGAATAAAACACATCTAGTTCAAAACTGACAGCAGTGGTCTGGGAAAAAACTCTGCTCATTTTCAGTCTCTTTCACAAATTCTGGTTTTTCTAGTTCAGATGGATGGATTAGGGACCAAATCAGTAAGAGATTGGTGGCTCCTTTTCTCTCCTAAACAAGACTCTCCCATACACGAGGTATATATCTCCGGGCAGAGAACAGGTACAGGAGTCCTGAGCTCTGATTTCAAACACAGGTTCACCTAGGGAATTTAATTTGGAAGCTTCCTGGCTTTTAGCACAGCATTTAGATGATGTATATTTGAGTTACAGGGTTTTATAGCTAAAGGCAGGTGATCAGATCTGATGTACAGCTACGGTAATGAAGCCTAGAGTCACTTGTCCATGTTCTTGGTGGTAACTCACTCTAGGACTAACAGGTATGATTATTTTACAGTAAAAATGTAAGGACTGTACAAAATTACAAAGATTTATTGGCATATATTTTCACATCTTAATAAAATGGTGATACAAATGTTTAGAAAATTTTTCTAAAATTGTTAAGTCTACAATTAAGTGCTCTTCTACCCACTTAAAGCTTTTTTCCTCCTCCTTCAGGAAGTTCTCAGACTAAAAGCTAAGGAGAACTTCAGAGTTCATCTTTTAAAACTGTTCCAATCTGATCACCTAGCATCAAACAAGTGAACAGGTTAGGCCACCAACAAGGGAGAAGAAATTAAGTCTGAGGCCGCAGCATGAGCAGGTCTTGGGGATTCTGTAACTCACCACCGTAGCCCCCAGCAACTTGCAATTCTGGCATGGAAAAATGCTTAGTAGGTATTTGTTGAATGAATGTTGCCAAACAGAGGCTTGGGCCTGTTTCTGTATCCATACAATGTAAAGATGCAATTATGTAAAAGCGCTAAAAGTTCTTAGTGCCTAGTTAAGGGGAAATACTCTGCATGTTTAAGCCCCCTTCAGTTTCTACCACCTCATACCATCTCCTTCTATATTTATCAATAGCCCAAGCCATTCTTCAGAGATGTTAGAAGGGTGGTTCTCAAAGTGTGGCTCCTGGACCAGCAGTATCAACCTCACTACTAGTTGGAAATGCATATTCTCAGGCCCTACCCCAGCCCTCCTGGATCAGTAACTCTGGGGGTGTGCCCAGCAGCCAGTGTACTCACATGCCCACCAGAGTTTCTCATGCTCCACTAAGTCTGAGACCCTCTGTTCATAGATTTCAACTAATTTGATTCTCACATGCAGCAACTGACTTAGCCTAGTGACCACTGCAATGATTCCCTAGGATCCTTTTAAAGGGCTTTGCTAGGGTTTTATTCCCCAAAATTGTTATATGTTTTTAAAATACTGAAATCAGGTTATTTCTACAAGGTAGAAGCAGTACCAGTCTCAAGTAAATATTAATTCTAGCAGACTTGACCTTTATATCAGTTCTCATTGAATAAATCTAATGGGCCCTTGAAAGTATAGTATAACTTACTTTTATTTGAAAATTATACCTTTATAAATTTGGATAATTTGATAAATTTCAATCTTCTTTCATAAATGTAAATATATTTTATATAAATATAAGATAAATATTTTCCTGTACAATGTTGTGATTTATAGGAGTACCTTCAACACTCCAACCTTCCTGTCCCTTATACTTTTTTTATCATGGCAAAATATGCACAAAATTCACATTCTTCACTTTTAAGTGTACAGTTCAGTGGTATGAGACACGTTCATAATGTTGTGCAACCATCACCACCCTCCATCTCCAGAACTCTTCTCGCCCTGTTAAAGTGAAACTTTGTACCATAAAGCATGAACTCCCCATTCTCCTTCCTTCTAGCCCCTGGCAACCAACGCTCTCCTCTCTGTCTCTATGATTTTGATTACTTGAGACATCTTACGAAAATGGAATCATACAGTATTTATCTTTTTGTGACTGGCTTACTTCACATAACATAATGTGCTCAACTTTCATCCATGCTGTAACATGTGTCCAAATTTATTCCCATCATATGTATAAACCACATTTTGCTTATCCATTCATTCTACTGATGGACACTTGGGTTGCTTCCACATTTTAGCTACTTTTGTGAATTTGTGTATTGAATAATGCTGCTATGAACATGGGTATACAAAACTTCTTTGAGAACTTTTTTCAGTTCTTTTGGGTATATATCTAGAAGTGGAACTGCTAGATCAGATAGTAATTACATTTTTAACTTTTTGAGGAATGGACATAGTGTTTTTCAGAGCAGCTGTGCCATTTCACATTACCATAAATAGTGCTCATACCTGCCCTTACTTTTTATTTGAGATTCCCCAAACAGCTCATTTCCTAGATTCCCTGGATACCCTAGGAATATCCATGGTAGTACTCAGTTACTCCAAAGGTCCAGTATAGAACTTTGCTGCTTACCTAATTGTGTCTTGAGTGCATCTGAAATCTCAAATATTAGGGATGTAGGAAGTTTCACAGTGGTTTCATTAAGACCTGGAATAACAAGGTGGACTGCAAGGACATAGAAGTAGATAAGAGGGAGAAAATGCATCAAGATATAAAAAAGAAGAGCATCATATATCAGAAACTATGAGGTTTTGAACTTACTGTGCTCAGCCAATTTTAACCCAAACTTTAAAACATTAGAAAAAAATTATAGCTTTTAAATAGAATCACTTTCATATTCAGAACTGAACTGACCAAACCTCTGGCTTTTAATTCATGGTGTCAAAAATTATAAAATGCTTGAGATGTGTGGTAAACAAAGAACACCATTAATAATAATAATAATTTAAAAGAGTAGTTCAACATGACAAAGTCTCTCTTATAACTTCAATAACTCTCTGGGGCAGGAAGATGAGCACCATCGATCCCATGAGGCATGGGCTAGAGTTTTTCTATAACACTTCATGATAGAGGTAACATCTCTTGGCTCCTAGTCTGTAATGGACACGAATCAGGATGCTGCAGGCTGAAAGGAAGTGAACTGACATCAATTTAACAGACCTGCTCATGATACTGTATTCCCTAAAGGCCCTATTATGAAAAAAAAAATACAGATTTGCTTAATCTAGGTAATATAGATATCAAGATAGACTCACGTAGTATTGTTCCTCCAAAGGGAGTCCTATCTGGGGATTTAGTTGAAGCCCTGTGAGTAATATTCTGGATCACTGTTGAAATACAAAAGATAGTAGTGTGATGGAAAAAAAAAATAGTCAGAAAGCAGTAAAAAGCTAATAATGTGTAACCATCTGCAGTGGGAAGCCCTGACCTAACTTTTCAATTAATAGAAAGGACCTCTACAGAGCCAATGGGAAGACCAGAATGCATTCTAACGCCCACGCCTTCAAGTAACTAAAGACTCTTTATCGCTCTATGTTCCATTTTAATTAGCTGAAAATTTTCTTCCTCACCTCCACTCCCTGCAGCTACTTGAAGAACTAGCACAAAAGAGACAATGACCCAAGAAATCTAAAAAATTAGAAAATACATATTCTCAAAGCAAAGAATCTTTGGGTAATTCCAATACTAACTGACCTCATTTTGAGAGTACACTTGGGACATAGTTGTTTTCTTACAATGAAGAACTGTTGTAAGTACACAATCTTTTCTATCAAGCAGCTTTCTGTAAATAATGGAGTCATTTAGTAACTGGAAAAACTGGAATTCAAAACAAAACAATTCAATACTGAAATGAAATAACACATTATAATTCTAGAAACCGGGATGTCTTTGCTTTCTCTAAATCATAGTTTTCATTTCATTAATCCAGATATCCTATTAATGATTTTCTTCATGTATGCTCAAATAATTCTGAATAAAGCCACACATATTTAACTGGCTTTTCAAAATTTAATGCTTGTTATGATTGCTTTGTCCCTAATTGTCCAACAAGTGTGACTTGCTGAGACTGGGCCTATTAGCACAGGAGACAAAATTATATATTAATTTCTAATGTACTAGATTATACAGATTTCCTCAAATTTTACCACTAAAACAACAATGAGGGAAATTGGGAAAATATGCACTATGTTTAATTATCTCAGTTAAAAAGAATATTGAATATAATTGTAAACACACATCCAGAGTAAACTCACACAACTTACCTTGCTTGATGATTGTTACTGGGATTATCCTCCTCGGGACATATGCTGGCTGAAAAGAGGACAGTGAGCTTCTGAGTAAGAAATTTGCAAGTTTGTTGACTTAAAAAACTAATCCAAAAAACTACAAGGAGTTCTTGCTTGTCTTCAGTGAAGTCTCCCATGACACTGGCTTAACAGTTGCTGAAAGATCTTTGTACATATATCTGCCTTTATTTTATTGGAATCACTTGGTTTTCCCCATAAACATGCAAAGATTTGACAGCAGTCTCTTCAGAACTCCCATCGGTTTAGTCGACTCAACTATGTGATGGAAAGATGTTAAAGCCTCCGGATTGACTACTACCTTATTTTCACTTTATTTGAGATGTGACCCAGCCAAATTCTGTCTTTACATTCCCTCTCACAGGGATGTTATGCTATATATTATCTTTTAAAACCAAGCGACATCAGTTCTTTGAGTGTATGCACTTGCTGCTGTTAAAAACCACCACCATGGTGGTTTGTGCCTGACTCTAAGCACTTCCCTGTCCAAGGAGGTAGAGCTAGAGCTCAGATTCAGGCATTTCTGCTTCCAGCGCCTGTACTCTTTAAGCATTCTGCATGTATTAATGCACAAAGGACCTCAGAATTCGAAGGGCAGGCTTCAAGAGAGTGTATGCTCAGACACTATCGGTAAATAATGGAATGATATTTACCTATAAGAGAAAAGCAGCAAATATATGCAGAAGTATTAGATTGACTTAAAGAGGCAAGCATGACATCAATTTTTTATGCTGGATTTAACCTGTATAACATGATACAGATACTCCATGTACCAGATCTGTTGCTAATCCAAGCAGTGCTGAATAAAATACCACATAGGTGTTTATTTACAGTTGTGAGCAAAAGAGACTTCCTAACATGCTACCATTTTAATAAACGATATGCCCATGAAAAGAGCCAGAATACCAAGTTTACTGATGGCTAATTTTCTTTCTGTATTAGGTCCTTATATTAAAAACCACAAAAAGACACGTTTATTATTATCAAATTATTTTGAAAAGGAGTATCTGTGTCTGTTGACCCAGTGCTATAGGCTGAATGTTTGTGTTCTGCCCCAACTGCACCCCCCCGCCAAATTTGTATGTTGAAACTTAATCACCATGGTGATGGTGTTTGGAAGAGGGGCCTTTGAGAAGTGATTAGGCCATGAAGCTGGAACCCTTATGAGCAGGATTAGTGCTTTTATAAAAGACACCCCAGAGGGCTCCTTCTAGCCTTCCTCTGTATGAGGACACAGTGAGAAGATGGTTGTCTGTGAACCAGGAAGCAAGCTTTCACCAGGAAGTGAACTGGCCAGAACCTTGACCTTGGACTTTCCAGACTCCAGAACTGTGAGAAATAAATGTTTGTTGTTTAAGCCACCCAGTCTGGGATATTTTTGTTATACAGTCCTAATGGACTAAGACACCCAGTGATTTCCTCCAGGGCAATCTAGCCTAAGGAATTAACCAAAGATACAGCTAATCATTTATGTGTTTATTATAATATGAAATCCCCTCATTATCCAGAAGCAGAGGTTTTATTAAATAAGTTATGGCTTACAGTTTTAATTTGAATTTCCCATGTAATAAAGTGGTAAAACATGCGTAATAGAAATCCAAATACAAATTTATATCCACAGTATAGCCTAATTTTATAAAATGTATAGATAAATACCAGGAAGAAATAGATAATACTTTTTAACAGTAGTTATTTCTGATAAGTTGATGTGAATCTTATTTTGTATACATTCCTCTATTTTCCAAATTCCATACAATAGTGATTACAAGTTATTTTAATCAATAGTCTTTTCAGCTACTACATATGCTTCTATACTGCACAGCTCAGACACTATTGGTAAGTAATGGAATGATGTAAACCTAATTTATACATCAGTTTCTCTCCAGGCAAGGGGAAGGACATAATATGAATAAAAGTGTAAACTTTAGCAGGAAAGAAAAGGAATTCTCAGTTTTGATGTCACTCTTGCAGCAGGATATCTTTCAGCTTTATTATAGGGAAGTTAAATAAGGCACTTACAGAGAATCCTTCCCCAGAGAGGGTCAGGCCCAAGGCACTGGCTGGGATGCCTACCTTACTCCTACCTATACTGCTGCAGTGAAAAGTTGCCAACACCTGGCTTCTACCCCTTCTGAGAATTTTAAATGCCTACTGCAGCAAATTCCAGCCACGCAGGAGCCACCTGTCACATTACCTTTCCAGGTACTAATAATTATTTTTGTTCGAGCTGTGGTTATAGTTCCAATGGTTTTTGAATGGCTTTGTCTTCTGTTTCCCCACAAGTCCTGACATGTAGTACAAGTTTTGCAAAATGTGAAGTTTTTCAAACATTTTCAGACATCATAGCAGAAATGTCCACACGTTGCTGTGTTGATTGCCTTTGAGTTGCATTATACCAATTTTTATTTCGTTTGTTGTGATGATGTGTTTTAAACAAACATTTTTTTTTTGACAAGGACAAATGGAAAATATTCCACTCTTCACATGAATGGAACAAAGTTTCTCTGCATTCCTGAGTACAGACCAGTGTTCCATGAAGATGATGACAAGGCTGTACATATAATATGTGGTGCCAGTAATTAGGGAAATAATTTAGCTGCAGAATCCAATTCTTTCTAGACCTATAATTACTCTCTTGCCTAATCTGTAATCCAAAGAGGCACCAAGTGTGGACTAATGAGCACGTAGCTCTGTAAGTATTTTTTTAAAGGCCATCAGGAAAGTCTTTCTGTCCAAAGTATCTATGCTGAAGGCTCTAAAATTTGCAAAATGAAATACACACTGTGAATTCTTTTCCTATGTCTTGTTATGAAATACAAGTGTAGGGAAACGTCTGTTATCTGGACTCATTGAGAAATGAGATACTGTGATAATTTCCAAATTAACAGTGTTTAACCAGTTACAACTCAATTTTAATTGAACTGTTTCATGTACAGTGTTTTTTTTTTTTTAAAGATATTAGTAACCTTTCCTTGCAGTCCCAGGATTGGTGTATGAATATCTATCTTATGTACAGAGGCCTGAGTATAGCTGGTATGAGGCATGGGGAGGGGCAGAGGCATGGGGCAGAGAGTCAGTGAAAGTCCCCCAAGTGCGGCCCAGCCAGCAGGTGTGGCCTCAGCAGAACACTGCTGTCTGTGGGCAGCACTCTCTACCAGTTTTATTTCTTAAGCCATTTCCTTGCTGGCTCTTCTCTCTGCAGCTTGCTGACCCCCATTCCTGGTGCAAACCTCCACCCCCCTTCCTTCTACAGCTCTTACCCACCTTCATTCAGCAATTTTTAAAAATGTTTGCTGTAGGCCAGGAAGTTAGCTTATTTCCCTCCTGTCCTACAAGAGATGCATCACTCTATTTTATCTTTTTTGAGTTTCAAGACACCCTGTCCCTTAAGAACCCAGGTTGTACTACATCTCAGCAGAGTGCCTGGTTAAGGGAATTCACTTTTACTATGTTTCTGGTGATATTATGGCTGAGTATCCAGTTGGTGAGACTCAGGGGAGGATGCTGAGGTGGTTGGTAAAAGGTTGTGGTCTTGATGCCTGATTCAGCTGGCTCTTTAGTCCTGGTTAGGGAAGCCTGTGCTTATCTACAAATAACCACAGCAGTAACCACACAGGATGAGGGACTTTCAATTTACCCTGCATTATGACCAACTTCCTCCTGATGTTATTTTGAAAACTAGCTTTAGTAAAAGTATTGATAACACCAGGATGCTAGTTTTTACAGGTTATTCTTTATGGGTTTGGCCATTTGGTACTTTTGTGGTGTCAGAATACTTTTTGTCAAATTAAGTTTATTTTCAGGCCCTGAGATAAAGAGGAGTTGTCCATTTGGGGAGTGGCTAAGGGTTGCTAAAAATCAGATTTCAGTGGTTCAGGATCCAAACCACTTGTGAAGAGGTTGGGCATGTTATACTCTGGTTTTAAATCTTTCTTAGGATGCTCTAATGAAAGTGATGAAACATACTTATTCAATCTAACATCTGGTTAAAAATGCATCTAACATTCCACTTGCAAAAGTCTTCATATTTCTGGTCAGCTAGGGAGGCATCAGACACACACCTTTGGTGATATCACTGGCCTAGGTATCCATCTTTCAAGCTTCTGCTGAGGATGCCAATTGCTAAGAATGGAAGAATACCTGGTGCATTCACTGCACACAATCTAAGGTGTGGGTGGGTACCATAGTTACTTCTCTATGCATTCTATTTATCTGGTAACTATTACATTTTAAAACTTGGCACCTCTTTTCTTTTTGTCAATCACAGACAGGGCTTTTCAGAAAGATGGGTGGATCTCTGATGGAAAAAATGGGAGGGTGAAAACAGATGTTTTGTTTTAGGGGAACACTGATTCTAAGGAGATTTGGGTTCATTAAATAATTAAACTTGCACTTTAAAGTCTCTGTTAATAAATACTACATCAAAATTGTTTAGTTAGTGAACTAGTTAGATAACTAAGTTTTTTAGACAGAGAGATAATATATTAAGTCTTTTAGCTATTGTTCTTTTACTTTTTTATAGCTCAGAACTTAGTAGTCATCATTAGGCTTCATCTTCATAAAAAGAGTATTCTACATTTTTAACATGGACAAAATAGCACAATTATCATGATAAATGTGTTTTTTCTTCCTCAATTACATGCATCTCACATGACACAATTTACACAGAGAGAACCATGTTTAGCTTGTGCATACACATTTTCTCTGATTTTTCTGGAGGCATAGGGAGGGGTGATACTGGAGATATTCAACAACTGGTAGAGCAAAGGCACGAGCCGTTCAGAAGAGACCCATGCTACATGGTCCTGGCACAAGTGCCTTGGGCTCACCAGAACATGTGCTTAGACACATGGATTATGGATATGATGCAACCAGATGCTTAGGATGGGGTGGTTTTGGTATTCAAATTTTTCACCTAAATATTATTTGTCCTTTAAAAATGGATAACCTAAAGTTCAAATTGTTTTTCCTGTTTCAAATATTTCTTTTCAGAAGGTGTTAAGGAGTTTCTGCTGCATGTAAGTTGCAGGTATAAACATGTATACATGAATGAGAACATTTTTCAATGTATCTGTTGCTTAAAACACTAAAAGTAAAACATCTAGAGTTAATTTCATATCTCTCAAAATACTGCCTTCTAACATCAGTCTGAAAAATAATGGGTGACTATTTGGACTGATAATGACTTTATTAGTACCAACTCTATTTTCAGAATCACTCAATTTTCAGAATCACTTCTAAGTTGCCATGTAAGATAGATGGTTAAAGGCTATCCCAAATGATTCCTTTTCAACTTCTCTGCATTCAGAGCTACCCAAGAACACAGACAGCAGTTTGTGAAACACGTTTTGCTGTCCAGTAAGTAACAATGAAGAAAGCCTCACAAAAAAGCCTTAAAACATATCTTCAATTAATTTGGGTTTTCCTTTGGAAATAACCAAGAGTTTCAAACCACAGTTCATCAGAGCTGGCTGGAGTTGGGGGTACTCCTCCTCACAGCTTGAAGTGATAAAATATTTGGCTCTGTGTCACTGATGCAGGAAATTTCTTTCTGGACCTTTTGGTCATACTATCTATGATGTGAAAAAAATTAAATTCACAAAAAATTAAATGCCTGGGAGCAAAGCATTGATTGTCTTTCCCAATCCTGGTGAGTAACTCACTCTAAATGAAATGTTCTGCCAAAAGAAATACAACTTATCGGCATGTGATTTTTTGTTGAAAAGAAGGAATAAAAGAGATGACATCACTGAGTCACATTTAAGATAGAGCATGACAAAAGTGGGTGGGAGATAAGACGTTTCCTAGGAAATCATTCGCAGCAAGAATGAGGAATGCTCTAGAAGAGAATGAAAGAGCAACTCTGTTCCCTGTGATTGGAGTTGAGAAAAAGCCAAAGAGTCCTTAGGGAATGACAATTCAATACTTGGCAGTAGGTCCATTTGTTAATTATTTGGGAAAAATATATAACCTAATCAATACAGAACCTTACTACATACAATACAGCAAAATAAAATCCATGTAGTTCAGAGTTCAATTATTACAAAAGCAAACCTCTTGCAAAACTAAATAAGAAAAGGAAATATTCATGGGCCCTCTGGATACGGAAGGGCTTTCTAAAACATAAAGAAATTGAAGATACGGCAATGGAAAAGAAAATAATTTGATTAAGGAAATTTAAGACATGCTTATTTCAAAAACTTCCACAAACAAAATTGATCACAATTGTAAGAATAATGTTTCTAGATGATATTACAAAAGGTCACTGTTCTTTAATTTATGAAAGTTTTTAAACTATTTAATAAAAACTATGAGGTGTCCGATAAAGAACTGAAACTACAGGTCATTAAACAGAAAATAAAAATGGCTAATAAACAAGTGAAGAAAATACTATTTTGTCAGCAATCAGACAAAAGGAAATTTAAAAACCATTTTATATGATTACATTAGCCAAAAATTTGGTCATGGAAATACATAATGTGGATAATCAGGGAGCTTTAACAGGGCAACTCTGATACATTGCTGGCAAGATTGTAAACTGGTATGAACATTTTGGAAACAAATTTGACCATACATGTTAGGGAGTTTTAAAAATGTTAAATATCTAAACTGTTCATTGCTGTTCTAAGTATTATAAGGAAACAATTGGAAATGTGAACAGAGATTGTGATCCTGTTTACCATAACATCACTTACAGTTAAAAAACAATTACAAATAACTTAAATGCCCATAAACTAGAACCTGAGTGAGTAAATAATAGTGCGTTTAGACTATGTAACAGAGCAATTAAAATTATGTATGTGATGGTGTGTGTGGGGGTCATGGAGAAGACAGTGTAGCACAGAGAAGACAAATAGTGACTCTGTGGCATCTTACTATACTGATGGGCAGTGACTGCAATGGGGTATGGGGGGACCTGATAATATGGGTGAATGTAGGAACCATTCATAACCAGTGAAACCTTCATAAGAGTGTATATCAGTGATATCTTAATAAGTAAACAAACAAATAAATAAACGAATAAATAAAATTATGCATGTGAATAACATTTAATGACATGAGAAATGCTATGCCATATTTTGGCTAAGTGAAAAGAGAGATACAAAATTATATGTATAGTGTGATTTTAATATTAAAATCATACTTAGAAGATAAAATGTTCTCAAGTTTTAACAGCAGACAATAAATGGTTTTATACTGTTCTTTATTTTGCAGTGTTATAGATAATTCTGTTAGTATTTCTTTTCCCATTTTTATACATTTTAAATATTTAATATTAGATAATTCAGAAAAAATCAATACCAAGCAAAGGAAGAAGAAAAAAAAATTAGAGAAAGAGGGAGGGGAGGGATGGAGGAAGGAAGGAAAAGAAAGAAAGAATGAATCCAGGCCTGGGAATTTCTCTGAAATCTCTTCTATTAATATTTAAAATACATCAAAATACTTTCCTGGGAAATCATTATAATCTAATAATCATGACTGATAATAATTTCTCAAGGTACATACTTTTCTGCCAACTCCAACACATAAACATTTGCTGTATCATGAGTAATTCTCAGTCAGTTCTATTTTATGAAAATCCATTTTCTGTCACTGAAAAGAATCTTGCATTTTTTTTATTCCAATGATGTATGTACTACTTTATTTCCCACTGGGCTACATGATCAATGGGATATTTTGTGGGCATAAATTTAGTAAGACATAAAAAGATATCCATCTACATACATCATGCACACATTGAATAGAGCAAATTTGCAACTGTGAGTAGAGTATTTGCTTATTCATTTGACTCTAGGATACTTCTCTGGCTGGGTATTCAGCACCAGTTCCCCTCTTCTCATCAAATACCTTCTCTACCTGCTCAGTGACTTATGTCCTTCACTTTAAAATTGGGCATGTGATTTAAAATGCAAGCATCTCTTTGGCGGGCGTAACAGTGGCCTACTTGTATGGTATATAGTACATAACTGACGGGATGCTTCCTGGGAATAGATTTTGAGAAGTGGAGGGAAGAGAGAACAGAGACTGAGTTTCTAAAGTGAGACAGAAAAGGGTGTCTAGATGGGGGGAATGCCTAGCACATTTCATATACTAACACTTCCTGCACTGAATAGAGGCTGAGTGCATTAAAAAAACACACCAGTTTGCTTTATCATTTTGAAAATGGTGGCTCTTTCAAGTAGGAAGTGATAGAAAATAGGGGAAAGATTTCAACAACAGCAATATCTGTAGAGCATGTACTAATTCCATTTTGAGACATCTGATAGCAAAAGACAATCCACAGGACAGAAGATAATAAACATCACCTCAAAATGCCTGAGGTAATGAAATACTAAAGGTAACTACATTGAATATCAGAATTTTAGAGCTTTGAACAAATTAGAGATGTTCTCATACTTTTACCTCTGTTTTCTGAAAAAGAAACAAATCTTTTAAATGTTAAGTATGTTACCCAAAGCCCATAGCTAATCAGTTAATCCAGTTTCAGTATCATAACAGGACTATTTAAAAACAAACACAACGTAGATGAAAAAAAGTTGTTTTTACCCTGGAAAGTAACCCAGTACATACCACTGTGTGGACTTGATCATAGGTACTTTGGATTTTTCCATTTACTTTATTTTTACCTGACAAAAACAAGGGGAAAATGACATTGTTTACATTCTTATTCCCAAATCAATTCTAACTAAGCAGTATGAAAACAACTACAACTTCTGTTCTGACTCAGGCATATATTTTATTTGCTGTCACTTCAAACACTGATTCCAATGAAGTCTGAATGAAGCAAGAACAGGAAGAAAGCCCAGGGGCCTCTAAAGGCTTTTTTGTTCACCTCCCCATTCAGCTTTCCATTTTAAATGTTTGCACACATTATAGATTTTTTTGTTCAGCTGGTATTCTAAGGCCAGGGACTGATTTAAAATACTACAATGGCCAATAAATTGTTATCAATGGAGCCATCAAATATTAATCACTTGCCTTTTTGGTAAAAAAAAAAATTCATAAAAGGATTCTGAAATATCAATGCTTAATAAATTCTGTTCACTTTTAGATTTTCTCAAGTACTAAAGTATGGGATTTAACTCACCTCATGTTACACAATTAATAATATAATTTAAAATTTTATAATTAGGGAAAAGGGAAAAACTGCAGAAAGCTTACTGAAATGGTTCCAGGTACTTACTTCTAACAATAGTCTTGTGATTGAAAATCTTACTCCAAATTCCACCTTCTACGTTGTCTTTCACTCCGAATTCGTAAACTGTATTGGGCTTTAGATTTTCCACAATTGTTTCAGTGGCTGGACAGAGTTGAAAAACCCATTTCTTTTCCTTATCCTTTTCTCTATAGCGAATTGTATAGTATCTGTTGAATAACCAAAACATAATGCTTTAAAATCCCAGGAGATTCAGCATGTTATGTCAAGGTTCTTAATACATCACCAAACTCCCATCTACTCCAAGGACTGCATTTAATATTGGCTTCTGTTTCTATTTTTTAAGAATTTGCTCAGAACATGAAAGACTTCAATGTGTGCTTAAGTTTGTCATTTCTAATTGCAAGTTAGGGGACTATGCAGCACAACAGTTAGGGTCAGACAACTCAGAACTCAGTTCTATTTGCTACTTTACAAAATGAAAGTTAGAAAATGCTGGATCTTCACTTTATTCCAATTATGCATACAGAGCATAGGCATAATTTTATGAATACTTAATATTGTAGTTAACTGTATGGGTTTCAGCTTTCCATGGAAAGGACATTAGAGATAATATTCAATTTTATAAAAAAGAGCCTGAAACTCCAAGATGCAACCAGGACTGCATGCCAAGGGTGATATTTTCTTATTATTATAATAAAATGAATCAAGATCAATAGCCAAGTAAGGATAGAATGAGAAAAATCAAACAATACTAATTCAAGATCACTGTTATGTATGTGCATAGGGCTTCCCAGTATTCAGATATATATATGGCAACATAATGATAATCCCCTCTCATGTTTCTACACCTTTATCACATGCTAGTTTTTACATATACTATCTCATTTAATTGTCAAAAAAATCTCAAGTGGTAGAAATTATTAATCCCATTTTATAAATGAGAAAACTGAGTTTCAGAAAGATCACCTAACTTTTCCAATGTCACCTTTCTAGTGACTCAAGTGCAAAACCAGAACAATAAAGAAAAACTCCTCTGGTTGTGCCCTAAACAGTCTCACTAAGTGGAGGAAAGGGGATTTCATTACTATTATGCACAGTCATGCAAAGAAAAGAACTAGAGCTACATGTACCAATATAGATAGATTTTACAAACAAAATATTGAATGAAAATAAATTGTGAAATGATCGATAGAGTTTACATAAATAGTAAAACACACAAAGTATTTTACCTTATATTATTCCTGATGGTATAAAAGGACAATAAATACTGGAAGGATACAACATGTATGATAGAGCTTCAGCTCCCAATAAGCAGGTAGGGAAATAAATGAGATTAGAAGTGGGGCTGACAGGTACATTTGATCTACTTTATATTCTTACATAAACATTTTAAGTAAAAACAATAAAATTATAGCTGTCATATATGAAGATGGAAACATAGGTATTTGTTACACTATTTTAGATTCTTTCTTATATTTTAAGTTTTCAATTGGAAATTTAGTACTTCTCCCCCACTCCCTACACCAGAAAAATTAATGGACTAAGATTCTGGCTTTTATTTCAAGTATGAAGAAGTCACTCATTCACTCCTATGAAAGCTGCTAAGTACCAGGTACAAGTTCTTGATGACACAAAAACATTACCCAGAATGTCTGGAAACAAGAGCCAGGACCAGTTAAACAATTTGTAGGGCTCACTGCTAAGTAAAAACATGGGCTTCTTGTTGAAAAATGACTAACAATTTCAAAAGTAACAGTATAGAGCATTAAACCATCCATGGGCCCTGTTCAGTGGGGACCCTGGACAGTGGCTCTGGTTGTGCACCCATGGAGCAGCAAGGGGTCTTTAGTTTAATAAGTACTTTCAGCTTATTTTCTTACCAGTCACAAACAATGGAAATGCTTGAAAACATCCATTAGCTAACTTCTTTCTAATAAAAGCTGCTCTCAGAGCTCCAAACCCCAATTCCAAAGTAGGGAAAGACAGAATGAGTGAAGGAGGCTATTTGAGCCAAAACGCAAATGGCTCCTCGGGACAAACATTATAGAATACTTATCTTCTGTGTCCTGTGAATCCAAACAGTGATTTTTGAAACACATTTCTTGACAATTAGGCTGCCTGGAATTTTTGTTGTTCCCTGCTTTGACTCTTAAAGGACATTGGAGAAGTGCAGAGAAGCTAAAATCAGACCAGACGGGCAACCACAATCATGCATCTCTGGTTGGGATACATTTCTGAGTCCTGAATGGCTTGCACAACCCAGCAGGGCCCATTGCTAAAATAACTACTAAAGGCGAGATCCCAGGATTCCCAATAAAATAAAGTGGGACACAAATGTTCTATTCTAAGAACTTACCCACGTGTTAAAAAAAAACCCAGCATGTAAATTATTTTCTATTTGATCACAAAGCATTTGAAATACTCTCTAGTACCAAATTTGTCAGGAAAAATAGATGTATGGGCAGCTAGCCTCTCTCCTCTGCTTCAGGCAGGCTACCTTCATCACACTGGACTAACTGATAACTGCATAATAGAAGCAAGTTCTAAATTTTAAGAGATAGTAAACAAGATGACTTAGCTATAAAGTAGCAAAGTAAATTTTCCTTATTTTCAAGCAAAATATAGACCTTATGATAAGAAACAGTACTGTAAACCTTATATACAATAGGTACTTCATAAATATTTGTGCATTGAGTAGAATGGATACTTGAGTGCTCAGGGAGCCATTTTAAAACTAGAATATAATTGTTCTAAGTAGCCAATGATTCAATCACCAAAAAACACAGATTTAAGCTATTAGGCTTACAATTATACTTTGCAATATATCAATGTGTGAGGTTTCACTTACCAAAACTCAGCATTCCTATAGGATCAATGCAAAATTTAAGAAAATATGATAAATCTCTACACTGTTCGTTTGCAGAGGGCTTAAGATTTTTATTTCATTGTATCCATAAACTCTGAGATGAGCAGATCAAGATTACTATGGAAGAAAAAGAGAGGCCAAGAAGTGCCAAAGGTCTGAGAGTCAGTGACAGAGCCAGGCAAATGGCTGTTTTCTGACTCCTCAGCTAACACCTTTTGTGTTGTGGTAGTCTGCTTTTGTACTGCAGTGCTTGGCAAGTGGAGATGGAAAGAGGCAGGTGAAATGATCCAGAATGGAAGAGAACTAAAAGGAATCAGAATTCCTTCTTACCATTATTTAAGGCTTTGTGTGTGTGTGTGTGTGTGTGTGTGTGTGTGTGTGTGTGTGTGGTGTGTATTTACAATAACATATAGTCATAGACTTCCCATTATTGTCTGAGGGCAACCAGGATCAAACAGTAATTGCACTTTTTTTCTGTGGATGATTAAATTTGAGCTCATACGTGGAGCAAGAATAACAAAAAGATACAGATAACAGCCTGTGAATGTCATTTGACTGTACCTCTGGAAAGCCTGCCTCCAGCAATTTGGATTTTTAAGAGCAAGAACATCTCATATCCTAAGTGGTAAAACACTGCTGAAGGTAGTATTTGGCTCAATTGGTGTTATCTGTGCCTGGATCTCCCTAATAGTCACAATGCTGGCAGTAACTATTACTATAGCTTTAAAAAGTTCATAGCTCCTCAAAATATTGTGGAGAAGGCAGGTAGTGGCTTGGCTTGGATACTGGTCAGCTGCAAACGAGTAGCATGACTTCAGGCGAGTCTCTGTCCACTTAGGCATCAATTATCTCTATTGAAAAAGAAAGGGGCTCAGCTAGACATTCTTTGAGATCCTTTCTGTTTCTAAAATTTTACTGTAGCTACATATCAGACATTCTACTCTAATAAAACAGAGAAGAAAACTCAGAAGTAGAAACCCCATACAAAAAGTTTATGATGTAACCAGCAGGGAATTAGACCAAGTGGAAAAACTGAATACCATCAACATACATTCAGTCCTTTCACAAACTAGCCTGGCCTGATGCACACGGTTGGCATCTTTTGGGCTTTCTATAAGTTTTTCAGCCATGCTTTTATTTCTATGGAATTACCTATAACCACTATCGTAAGTCCTAAAGCATCTTTTCTACCCATTTTTTGCTCTCTTCATGTCAAAGGACTCTTCTGATGCCCCCATTTGTCAGTACTCTTGCTTGTGCCTGAGACTTACTGAGACTGCTGATATAAATTCTGCTCTCACTCCCTTCCTCTCCAAGTGGCTTTCTTCCTTCATTCTCTCCTTGCCTCTTGATTCAAGGGTTCTCCTTTCTTCTAAAAAGTATGCATGCCTTTGCAATTTGATTGCATGTCCTTATTTTATCTTTTCTCCAAGCTTCTTCTGGATTCTTCAAGGACCTTTCTCTGAGTCCAAAAGTTGTTTTAAGTTTCCATTCTATAAGAAAATAAAACTAATGTTCTTTTCTTATTCCTATTATCTTTTAACACAAAATTTCTTATAAGTAATTTGTCTTATCCTACTTTCTTACCATTCATAATGCCTAACTCTTTCTGCAATCTGCTGTCTGATCTGTTAGCAGAGTAAAACCTTATGATCCTTAGGATCAAAATCAATGACTTAATCCTCTGTGAATTCTCTAACTTCCTTAAAATCTACTCATCTTTTCCAAATCTGCTTTGTTCCTCTCAGCTTCCTGTTCCTTCTCCCCTTATGTCCAATCAGTTTTCAAGTCAAGTTTCCCTGAATGATTCCTCTTGCATTTTTGTCTCCTCTCTGTCCTAAGTAACACTTAAGGGACTAGTTGAGGTCTTCATTATGTTTGTATTCTTGCAATAATTTTCAAGCTGGTCTACCACATCTACAAATCTCTTTTCTTTACCATCAAATGCTGTCTGGCCCAAGTGCAACAAAAGAAAGTTTCTAGTGATATGAAACAGCTCATCTGGAACAGTTCATCTGAAATGGTAATTGTAACATAAATATTAAAAGTAACAGGAATCGTAGCAAACACAGTACCATTCATTGAGTGCTCACTGCATGCCAAACACTGTATTATCCATTTTTCAAGAGTCATCTCATTTAATTATGGGAACTCCATGAAATATTACTATTATTGCCCCCATTTCATGGTTGAGAAAACCAAGGCTTATCTAACGTGCCAAAGGCCACTCAACTAGTAACAGAGCAGAATTTTGAATTTAATTCAGTCTGACCAGAATTTATACCCTCAAATTCTGTTACCATGCTGTTACCATCCCTGGAGATACTCACTGTAGACTCT